GTGCACTACCACACCCGGCTAATTTTTTATTTATTGTGGAGATGAGGGCTCACCAAGTTACCCAGGCGGGTCTCGAACCCGCGGGCTCAGGCAATCCACTCACCTCAGCCTCCCAAAGCGCAGGATGACAGGTTGAGCCACTGAGCCCGGTTTCACACCCTATTTAGATAGCAGGGGATTCCTTTGCAGGAAGTAGATTCTAGCAATGCTTCCCAAAGATTCAGGATGTCAGAATCACCTGGGGAGCTTTCAAAAGTCCTGTGTGTGGCCTGGTGTGGTGGTGCAGGCCTATAGTTCTAGGTGCTCAAAAGGCTGAGGGGGGAGGATCCCTTGAACCCAGGGGTTCAGGGAAGAAGTGAGCTACGATCATGTCACTGCACTCCAGCCTAGGTGACAAAGCAAGACCCTGTCACTAAAATGAAAAGAAAAAAAGGTACTCTATGTGGATTTCTACATTATACCTTAGACCTAACGAATGCCAAGGCTGCCTAGGGTGGGTCCACTAACCTGAGTTCAAATCCCACTTCTGCCACTCACCAGTTGTGTGAACTTAAGCAAACTATTTAAGTTCTTGAAGTCTGTTTTCTTAACTATAAAATAAAGATAATAAAATTACACAGCTCACAAGGTTGTTTGTGGATTAAATGAGATATTATGGCTAAAGTCCTTAGCGCTGTGCCAACTACCGAGGTAAGCATTCTGAACTTGGTAACTATGATTATCTAACCAGTCACATTAGCTGTGTCTCCCTCCTGTCAGAAGGCAACCTGCACGATGCTGAGGAGAGGGACCAAGGTGGGATTTTACAACCCCGATGTTTCAGGCAAGACTTTAGTCAGCATTTTAGTCTGTTTTTGATTTTCTCCTGCTTAAAGAAATAAATTAAGGAAATGTAAATAGGAAAACCAAACTGATGACCTGCTGGCTTGTCTATTTTTCTCTAAGCTTTTGTTGCTTACAGAAAAATTTGCATTTATTCCTCTAAGCTTTCCTATGAAAACAACTGCCCTCTGGAACAAATGGAGAATTGTTTCACATTTCACTCAGGAACCAGATCGGGAATGCTTTTCTCCCAGTTGTATCAGTGTATTTGCCTGATAAATATTTGTTGAGTTTCTATCAGTTTTAAGTACCATGCTAAGTGCTTATCTAGACAGAGCCAATGTACATTTTCCAGGAAACTAGCCAATTATAGGAATAAAACTCATTTCTTTTGGGAGGTCTCTTTGTGTTACTATTAATGATTTTCCTGCTGGTGGGCACAGAAGGTCCCACAACTTCCTAGTTATGTGCTCCTATCTGCTTCATGCATTCAGAACAGCACAGAAATCAATGGGGGTATCTGCCCTTTCTCTTTTGGGTTAGTGAACAATATCAAATATAAGAGGTTGGGATCGGTGACTCAGCCTGTAACCCCAGCAATTTGGGAGGCTGAGGCGAGTGGACTGCCTGAGCCCGTGGGTTCGAGATCAGCCCAGGCAACTTGGAGAGACCTTGGCTCTACAATAAATAAAAAAAGATAGCTGGGCATGGTAGCGTGTGCCTGTAGTTCCAGGTACTTGGAAGGTTGAGGTGGAAGTATTACTGGAGACCAGCGGATCGACGCCAGGGTGGTTGTGAGCATGCCACTGCACTTCAGCCTGTGAAATGGAATGAGACTCCAACTCCAAAAAAAAAAGAAGTTGGGCTCGGTGGCTCAGCCTGTAATCCCACACCTTTGGGAGGCTGAGGCGAGTGGACTGCCTGAGCCCGCGGGTTCAAGAACTGCCTGGGCAGGCAAGACCTCATCTCTACAAGAAATCAAAAAATTAGCCGGGTGTGGTAGGGCACGCCTGTAGTTCCAGCTACTTGGAAGGCTGAGGCAGAAGGATCGCCAGAGCCCAGCAGGTCGAGGCTGCGGTGGTGAGGAGCAGCCACTGCACTCCAGTCTGGGCGACAGTGAGACTCCAACTCAAAAAAAAAAAGAAAACATAAAACATTCTCAGGAATGGGGGAGAGAAGAGGAAGGGAGGAGAGGAGAATATGACTGTAAAATAACCTTTCAGTGATGGAACAGTTATGTATCTTTATTTGTGGTGGTGTCTATGGAAATCTACTCATGTGATGAGATTATACAGAACTACACGCATGCATACAAAACTGGTAAAAAAATTTTTTTTTTGAGTTGGAGTCTCACTCTGTCACCCAGACTGGAGTGCATTGGCTGCTCCCAGCCACCACAGCCTCGACCTGCTGGGCTCTGGCGATCCTTCCGCCTCAGCCTTCCAAGTAGCTGGAACTACAGGTGCACGCTACCACGCCTGGCTAATTTTTTTGATTTATTGTAGAGATGAGGTCTTGCCAAGTTGCCCAGGCAGGTCTCGAACCCGCAGGCTCAGGAATCCACTCACCTCAGCCTCCCAAATCGCGGGATTACAGGCTGAGCCACCGAGTCGGTTAAAACTGGTAAAATCTAAATGAGGTCTGTGAATTGTACCAATGTCAAATTTCTGGGTTTTCTTTTTTACTTAATTTTTGTTTATTATTAATTAATTAATTAATTTATTTATTGCAACAGAGGCTAGCTCTATCACCCAGGCTGGAGTGCAGTGTCCCAATCCTAGCCTACTGTTACCTTGAACTTCTGGGATGAAGTGACCCTCCTGCCTCAGTCTTCTGAATAGCTGGGACTACAGGCTCATGCCACTGCAACTAACTTACTTTTTGCAACTTTTCTGGGAACCAATAATTATTTTAAAATAATTTTAGTATGTTTTTAAAATTTTTTTTAAGAGGAGTAAACTCTCATAATTATTTGAAAGAACATTTATTCAAAGGTATTCTGAGGAAAACCATTTTTTCATCTCTAATCAACTAACAAAGATTTTCTCAGTCCTACAACCCTAATGATTACAATTTAGGAATTTCACAGTTTTCCTTATTTCCAACCTAGTATTATGTTCTGGCTTCTCCTCCTCCTCCTCCTTCTCCCTCCTCCTCCTCCTCCTCCTCCTCCTCCTTCTTTTTTTTTTGTTTTGAGTTGGAGTCTCACTCTGTCGCCTGCTGGGCTCCGGCGATCCTTCCACCTCAGCCTTCCAAGTAGCTGGAACTACAGGCGCGCACTACCACACCCGGCTAATTTTTTTTTTTTTTATTATTCATTGTAGAGATGAGGGCTCACCAAATTGCCCAGGCAGGTCTCGAACCCCTGGGTTCAGGCAATTCACTCACCTCAGCCTCCCAAGGTGCGGGATTACAGGCTGAGCCACCAAGCCCGGCTCTTCTTTAACCTAGAAATCACTTGCTACAGACAGCAGAGTAATAAGGAGCAGGCAAGCTTCCAAATGCATGGACAGGAAAAACAGGTATGAGGAGTGATGGAACTGAGGAGGGGAGGTTTTATAACTCTCATTGCTTTCAATAGCCGAGAAAGATGACCTATGTCCCCACCCACCCTGGTCGAGAGCTCTGTATTGATACATGACTCACTAACATCCTTCTGTTTCCCCATCTGCGTCAGTGACCCTGTCATCCCTTACCTGTAGTAACACTTTGGAAAGATAAATCTATTCTTCATTTCATATCCTACAAAGAGATTAGAGTAACTTCTCCCAATTCACATATTTGTTTTATTTCTTCATTTATCAAATGTTTCTTGAACTCCCATTACAAGAAGTAAGAGGTTGGGTGCAGTGGCTCACACTCTTAATCCAAGCACTTTGGGGAAAAGCTGAGGTGGAAGGGTTTCTTGAAACCAGGAGTTTGAGACCAGCATGGGCA